GCAGAAATGTGATTATTTTAATATGCAGAAGTCCCATCATGGACTATACCAAGCATGTTTCCTGGACACCTTTGCCTTCCTGGTATGTTTTGTACACAAAACCTTGGATTACCAAAAAGCTCTATGAAATCCAGCTATTTTGTTGGGTATTTAATAACTCCATTACACTCACAGAATTGCTGATGCCATGCAAAATAAGAGTTACTGTATTTTTGTGTGCGATATTAAAGGAAGAAAAGTTTTGGTATATTACTCAAGCCACTGTTGCTGAAAGTCAGTGATGGCAGCTCAGGCTGGCTTGCTGCATACTCCTATGAGACTCTTGGGAACAAGATCTGTAGGGGAGAACCATAAGACAAAGAGAAACTAAAATAAGCTTCCAAGGACAAAATGGGACATCCCTACACCCCCACACCCACAAAGGGAACTACAGCATCCTGCAGGGGATGGGATTTGAGATAAAATCATTATAATCCAAACGAGTTTACAATAAGAAAACCAAAACAGCTTTCATTAATGTCTGGGAAAAATCACTGGGTAGCAAGCTCTAAGCCACAAAAGACTCAAACCTTCTTATGACCATCACCAAACTAAAAATGTTTTGCATATGAGTTATCAGTTTTACACACTGAGTAGAAACCTACCAGTGACCTAAAGGGTTGGTTATAGAAGACTCCACATGTGGGATAACCCAGAAAGAGAAACAGGAATATCTCAATTCTTACAGCAGTTTAAATGTGGCAGGCTTCATCTGAATGCTCAAAGCATATTAGAAGACTTCAGCTACTACTGTTATCTGAAATGTATGACTCACTATACATGGAGTTGTTTTAATGCTGTTCAGAGTCACAGTTGCATCTAAATAAAATCAGATGTACAGGTAAGTCCTCCTCTAACCTCACAACGTTAATCCTTAATTTTAAGAGATGACCACAGGGCAGACATGGTAAGACCAGTCAGTCCTGGCACACAGCCGACTGCAGCAACTAGAGGGGAACAGGGCAAACACTAGCCTATGGGCAGGGCTCTGTTGCTCAGTTGCCACGCTGCTGCCTGTTTCTTGGATCAGAAGCCATGTTGGCATTCTTCCTGAACCTGTGTGAAGTAAAGGCACCCGTAACCCTGTAACAAGGGTTATTTTGACATCTGAAAAACTTCCCCTGCCTTAGTGAGAGCAACTGCTGCATTGAAGCATGACTGATGCTTGTTCTTAAGATGCCACCTCAGAGCAGCTCTGACAGCAAAGGCTGCTCCAGCAAAGACAAATAATGAGCAAAATACACAGGGTGATGGCAGCAGGGAAAAGTAAACCAGATCCAAAGTACTGGTGAAAAATCAGAAATAAGCTAGCAAGGTAAATGAGCTTCTAACCTACAGCTATAACATGTTTTGTGTGAAGCTATGCTGGCACAGCAACAGAAGAGCAACACCTCTACTTTAAAACACAACATAAAATGCATCTTGGAGAACTGGATGATCATGGGGGCTGTTTAAATACAGGGCAAGAGGAAAACCCCAAGCCACCTCCTCCTTTTGTCATAGGCAGAAAGACCTGTTAAAGCATTCTATAAATACATGTCCTGGTTTCTGATGATCACTGCAACACGAGACTAACTAATGTGAAAAAAACTAGCACTTTCTTGTGTCTTAGGAGAGTAAGGGGGTGGTGGTATGTTTGTGAATTATTGCTGTTTCTTGGTGGTGCAGTACCTGCTATATATAAAACTACAAGCTGTTGGAGGGAGCATAAAGAAAGGCATTGCCAGTCCCATGACTGAACTGCAGCCCTCACCAAAAAGCAATTCTGTGACCACAGAAGAGCAAGTAAGAGCACTGTATTATCTTTCTTCTTTTGTTTAAATGGGAATCCTTCGCTATATGGCCACTGTAGCAGGAAAAAAGATTTATGGATGCTTAGAGAGTTCAAAAAGACTTAAAAAGGTAATGGTTTATTTGTGGTTTCAGGAAGATTCCAAGCATGGTGAAGCCAAACTGCAGCACAAATAGTTAGCATATGTGCATCCTGTCTGTTGTCACTTTTGCAACCATAATTTTTTTTTCTCTCTGCCTGCATTAGACAGAACATCCTTATCCCTAGGAGAGCTGTTAGTGTTAATTCACTTAATCTAATTTAGACTGCATCATTTCCAAACCTATATAAGCTAACCTGGGGAAAAGGCAATCGAAGATAAGTATGCTCGCATTGAGAATCAAGCCACTTAATTGAAAAGAAATTAAATCTGGACCTTATCATACAACAGGAGAATGTCTTCCTGTGGGTAAATTCATAAGCAGGGCATTGGCACAGGGTTGTTCACTGGGCAAACTAAAGCAGATATTTTGTTAGAGGCTGTGAGGTGCTCAGCATCCTGAATTCCCACATATTCCCTTGATCAGAGCTTTGGTAACAGAAACGAAATAAGAGGATTTGTGCAAAGCAGAAAATCGCTTTCTGTGATGCAACAAGATAGGGAACTCTGAGAACAGTGATGCATTTGTCACATTTATCTCTCCATTTAACAATGCTCCCTTTGAACTATTGTGTATTATTCATCAGGTCTGCAGCAGGACTATGGCTTCAAGTACCTCTGATATTTTACGAAGTCTGGATGATCATGAAAATCAATGACCAAATATTTTCATACAAGGCTTGTGCAGCTTATATTATAAAATATAAATATTGAACAAGCAAAACTCACACTTTTTTTGTTAAAGATGCTTGCCCCTCTCCTAGGTAAACACTGAAGACATACAGGTGCATTTCCAGTGGGACTTCAACCATCAGCTGTCCTAGGACAAGCCTTATCACAGGCACTACTAACTTTTCTGCAGTAGCACTGGCACAGCCACAGCCTGCTCATAACCTGAATAGTCAAATCATGTGCACTCACATAAATCACCAGTGCAACAAGCCCAGTCACTGAAATCTTTAGTGGAATCAAGTCTGGAACTCACATTAAGGTGTATCCACTGATCAATGCATGGCATACAAAAAGCTTGTAAGAAAACTGCATATGCAGAATTTCTCATGCTATTATTTTAAGCTTAATCTTGAGTTCATATTCAGCAGCTCACTGGGTACAAACTCATATCCTCCATATGATTACCAAAGTTATCTGTGATGTTTATACGTGAGACACTGAAGTCGCTCTGATATCATCAGTCCTCACAAAATGCTGCATACTGTCACCCTTGTCATAGAGTAGCTAAGAAGGTAATGTCTACTATCCAGATCCTCAATGCAGAAGTCATACAGCAAAGGTGTCACCGCAGAGATTAATGCAGTCTATGGTATACTCTTACCATAAAGCACACAACAATGTCACTGTGAATGCTTATTCTCATCATATGTTATTTTTACTGTACACAAACTTTTCTTATGTGGTCTACTCTTTACATTTCCATACTGCTTTTACAGTGGCTGTTGTAACCTTGGAGAGATGTCCCCAAAATACCAAAGTAATTAATCCATGAATTAGCAACTCAAAAGAGGAGCACAGGAACAAATGACCTGCACTGCTCAAAGGAATCACTGGTTAAAGGCCATCCCTGAGAAATTCAGGTCTGTAAGGGTTTTATCCTGAGCCAAGCATATGCCTTTTTTCTTGGAGTAGTAGTCACTTGACCCCACACCTACTACAGGGAAGGTACACCCTACATGAAGACATATTACATTAATGTAACAACTTCTGCATCCACAGATATGCAGGTTTCTAGTGTTTGCTTTTTTAATACAGTACCCATTCTTCCATAGAAAGCTCGAGTACAAAGCACTGGAGAAATCCCAGACATTTACTGAACTCTTAACAGGCACGAACACAACTGTCTTGGATAGGTCTTTAGTGAATGGACAGGAAACTACTCATTTGTATCACCTACTCTGTGCACTTTTTCCTATACTATATCTATAGCATATTCCCCAGGACATCTCTTTTGAATACCCAACTGATGCAATTTCCTGGGACAGAAAAAACTGGGAGAGATATCCAGAAACTTCCTTGTGGTGGGTCGACCCTGGCTGGACACCAGGTTCCCACCAAAGCTGCTCTATCACTGCCCCTCCTCAACTGGTCAGGGAAAGAAAATGTAACAACAGCCTCATGGATTGAGATACGGGCAGGGAGAGATCACTCACCAGTTACCATCATGGGCAAAACAGACTCAACTTGGGAAATCAGTTTAATTTATTGTCAATCAAAATCAGAGTACGATTATGAGAGATAAAACCTAAATCATAAAACACGTGCTCCCCACTTCTTGAGCTCAGCTTCACTCCTGATTTTCTCTACCTTCTCCAGGGCTGCAGAGGGATGGAGAATGGAGGTTGTGGAATAGTCTTTTATGAACTTCTGCATTGATCCTTCCCACAATTCTTCACAAACTGTTCCAGCATGGGTCCCTTCCAATGGGTGCAGCCCTTCAGGAACAGCCTGCATGGGTTACAAGTCTTGCAGCAAACCTGCTCCAGTGTGGGCTTCCGAAGGGGTTACAGCCTCCTGCGGGCATCTGCCTGCTCCAGCATGGTGTCCTCCACAGGCCGCAGGCGGAATCTGCTCCACTGTGGACCTCCACGGGCTGCAGGGGGCAGCCTGTCTCACTATGGTCTGAACTATGAGCTGCAGGGGAATCTCTGCGCTAGAGCCTGTAGCACCTCCTGCCCTCCTTGGGGCACTGACCTTTGTGTCTGTAGGGCTGTTTCTCTCTTCCAGTTAATGTTGCACAGGGTTTTTTTACCCTCTCTTAAACACGTTATCCCAGAGGTGCTACCACCATCACTGACGGACTTGGCTTTGGCCAGTGACAGGTCCATCTTGGAGCTGGCTGGAACTGGCTCTTGGGCATGGGGGCAGCTTCTGGTGTCTTCTCACAGAAGCCACCCCTGAAATCCTCTTGCTACCAAAACCTTGCTACACAAACCCAATACACTGTTAACTCAAGCTTCTCATTACATTTTCTATAGCTTCCTAAAAAAAAAAAAAGACCACTGGCAGACAGTTGATTTCATAATAATAATGAAAAGAGTTTGTTGTTTCTGGAATGGAGGAGAGATCGCATATATATAACATGTTCGAAAAACAAAGGGATTCCTCCCAACATACACACCTTATCCTGAGCTTGCAAAGCATCTAGAAAGGGCAGACTCAAAGAATTCTCTTATACCAACATGTATCAAGCTCCTTCAGAGTATAGTGTATTCCCTCACTAGATTGAGTACATCAACACCCGCAATATTAGCATAGAGTTCAGGCACCACCAGCTCAGGCACCTGCAGTACTGTATGATTGTTGCTGTTCTTCATCGCTGTTTGTAGGGACCACATCAGGTCTGCTGGAGAAGGCCGGTTAGTTGCATTCCACTGCCAGCAGGACTTCATGATGCTGTACCTGTAAGATGGAGAAGTACGGAAGCACTGGGAATGAGAAGCATCAACACTAAGCTTTACTACAGTCATATTTAAAATGTCTAGAGACCTCCTCTTTTTCTGCTTCATGTAAAATTCTTTCAATGACCCTCTGAAATATGCAACGACAGAATATTGTGTGGGGGCAAATGCATACAGTTGCTAGCCAGGATGTCAACTGTGAGTAAGGGAAAAGGGAAGAACGTTGTTTGGTATTCCCTTTTGAAACAGCATTATAGAAGAAAAAGCCTCTAAAACTAGAATGAATTATGCCTTCATAAAAGGAAATATAATGCCTTAGACCTTGCTCATGGGTGTTTTGTTTACTTCAGGGAGGATCCTGCAATTTAGAAGAGAAAGATTACTCCAGAACAGTCCTACACTTTGCAGGGAAGCAGTGGAGCAACAAAATGCAAGGGCAGACAAGTGAACACAAAGAGCAACTTGCAAAAGCAGGAAAGAAAGGGTCTGGCAATCAAGGTTCCATGCAGCAGCATCTAGTAAAGAGATGTGGTAGACGTGAGAAAAAGTCTCCTCAGCTAATAGGTGACTGTTTTGGGTATAGAGATCCTCTGTAAGATCTAGTTTTGTATGTCTCATTTCCATTTATCTCTTCAGATCTCAAGTTCAATTGTCCATGAAGTAAGTGGTTTACATGGCTTGCTGGCAGCTTGAGGGCTGTTTCATTATGTTCTCTCTCTGAAGGTATGGTAAAATGTCAGAAGGTGGCACCTCAGGATATGGTGGAGCACCTGGAAGGGCAAAAGAAGTTACAATAGAAAAACTGCAATAAGGAAATTGTTGCTGATGGCAGCTTCTTTGTAAGAATGCCTTCCTTCTCTATCAAAATCCATCCTTTTTATCCTGCCAAAACTCACACTGAAATGAAGTCTAAAAGGAATTGTCAAGGCTCTGCAAGTTGGAAAAAAGAGAATTCTGATTTAAATGGCCCAACTTTACATTCTAAAATTTGAGATTGGGGTCTTCCTAATTTGCTGCTTCCTTACATATTTTTTTTATCATCATTGTATCTTCTTACCTAACGTAATCATTTCATACAGTAGAATTCCAAAAGACCATCTGCAAGAAAAGAAAACAATGTTAAGTTTCCATTCTAGCTAAATTCTAGCTGAAATGCATACAAATAGGCACAACCTGCAGAAATGAGAAGAGCAGGTATGAGATATAAAGTGGAGCATTAAGCTCACAGTAGATACAACTTCCTGTGAACTTTAGGACATGAAATGATACATAAAGGAGTGAAAGAGATGAACTTCTAGTTCAACAGTTAAATCATACATGTCTGCCTTGATGCTGGGGGGTTTCTTCAGGAGCCGCTCTGGTGCCTGCCACTTGACTGGCACAATCTTTGTGACTGAGTTGACACCATATGTGTGAGTTTCATAGGCCAGACCAAAACCACAGAGCTTAGCAGTGAAGTTGCAATGAAGGAGGACATTCCTGGCAGCAATGTCACCATGGAACAATTTCTTCTGTTCAAGATAAGCCTGGGACGTTGGAAAACAAAGAGACCACGATAATTTTAAAAGGAATTTTAACTGATATAAATTTTCACTTAATTTATGCCTGTCTTCCATGCTGTGGAAAGACATGTATGCTCACAAAAACAAAGCAAGCATATATGGCTCAGTTTTAACAAAGCACATCCTCGCTGCTTAGGCCGAGAAGACTTAGGCCACCATGCAGACTTGTGTTGCAATCAGGAAGGCAAAAATGCAGTGAATATAAGCAGACTTACCAGAGCTGCTGCAACCTGCTGTCCAACTTCGTATACTTGTCTCTCAGTGAAGTCATAGGGAACACCATCCATTGTCATCACATCCTAGAGACAAAAGACCAAGACATTTGGTTCAAACAAATGCCATAGCTGTAGCATACTGGGGAATGTTTTCTTCTAATCTAATAAAATGAGTACTATAAAATCTTCTGCTCCCCCAAGTAATTTTCCAACTGATTATAAATTGACTGAAATATAAGGGTATGTAGATGGGTGATGTTGATGGATGGATGGTGTGCTGGGGAAGATAAGCACATTAGAGACAAGTGGTGGGTAACTTGAAGAGTGAAGAAGAGATTAACAGATTAGACAGAAATGGGTAGAATGACACTGGAGAATGACAATCCATACAGAAGAATGAGAGATACACATAATAAATTACAATGATGAGTGGAAAAGTACATTTATAACATACAAATGGTTATCTGGTATGAAACTAACAGTCCATCTCTCTTGCTATCCTGCCTCTAACAGTGACCCTACCTTGATGCCAGATGAAAGAAAGAGAATAAGGTAAGCACAGAATGTTTTTTCTGTGTCATTTTCCAGCCCCCCAACTATTTTCAATTTAAGGATTTCCTGAGATGGTTACAGTTTCAACATATTCTGTAACATCTGCAAGGCTACCCTCCATAAATGTATTCAGTCTTGTCTTGAACCCATGTAAAGTTTCCATATCCATAGCAGTCAGTGGCAAGGAATTCCACTAGTCAACTCCCCACTTCATGAAGAACCACCTCTTTTGTTTGTTTTGAACATGACGCTTGGTAGCTTTATTTGCTACCACCTTGACCTGCTGAACAAGACAATAAGCAATCTCTCTGTATTTAGTGTTCCAGATGTACGTAAATTATTCATGTAGTGACATGGCAGAGTTTTGTTCCTGTGCCTTTCTTAATAATGCTTAATACTTGGTTTCTTTTCCAGCCTGAGTTAACATTTTCATACAGATCCATGACTTTATTCCTCATCAGCAACATATGTGAGTCTAAGGTTGCTTTTCTACATGGTCATAATTTCATTTGTAACTATGCTGAATTTCACCTGTTCTTTTTATTGGCCAGTCTCTCAATCTTGTAAAATCCTGCAGTTCCACAGGGTCAGCACTTGCCTTTACTGGCTGGAATCGTCATCTCACTGTCATCCCATTTTCTAGGTTACTGATACATGCAACGAACAGCACCAGGTCCCACATGAGTGACATCCCTCCAGTGCAAGTATCAACCTTTCACTCATATGATCTGTTTTCTGGTGTTGTAACGGCTCTGCTTTCTTAAAAGCATTTGGAGTGAGACATTATTTAAAACTGATTAGAAATTCACATAGCTGTCTCAACTCTCACTCTTATTCCACTGCCTGCTGTATCTTTTAAAAGCTCCAGTTATCTGTAGGAGTATGTCAACTTCTCCAAACTGTATCGTACCAACGAAGATATCCACTAATTCCATTCCAGTTCAGACTTGTGCAGAACTTCTTTGGGGTGTGGAAATAGTTTAGACTGATAAAGAGGGATGCATGGAGAGAGAAAAGAATCGTCTATGATTTATGGACTATGACTTATGGATAAATATGTACCTAAGGAATTTAAGAAGATACTCTATCATTTCTTTTGACTCACCTTCCGACATGTCCATAAAAATGTCAAAAGGTCACCAAGAGAGACATCTTCCATGATCATATAAAGTGGGAGCTGAGCTACACAGCATCCAACCAATTCAACCAGGTTCTCATGATGGCCAAGATTTTGATGGAATTTAATCCTTCCCAGGAAATCCTTTACTTTCTGGGGACTACCCAGGTCTGAAAGAACAAAAACCCCAAACCAAACCAATCAAACAAACAAAACCAACCTCCGCCCCCCCCCCCAAAAAAAACCCACTATACTGCCAAATGGAGGAAGCGAAGAACAGCTTAAAATCAACATGAACAGCAATCTCCTTAGTCCTACCAAGACACTCCTATCAAAACAGCTACACAGACTAGCTAACATGATACTCAACACAGCTTGGTCTTTCCCAGCAATGACTGCAAGTTCTACCCAATATCATGTCTTTGATACAGAGATCCTGGCCATGTGCCTTACCTTGTAAGACTTTTAGTACTACTGTCTTAGTCTTCCCGGGGTTCCCAATTTCCAGCTGTGCTCTGTAGATGCTCCCATAGCGACCATGTTTTATCAGCAGCCAAGTGCCTGGTAAGAGTTTCTCTCGTGGTATCTCCAGTTCTTTCAGAGTCAAGGACGCAGAATTTAGCAGGCTTTCCACAGACATCTCACTCAGCTGGATATAGCGGCTCTCTGTTGAGCTGTATTCCTGCTGATTCTTGTCACTCACTGACAAAAGCAAATACACATGATGCTTAAAACCAGACAGATGAACTCTTGTAGTAGGTGGCAATGCTTGTCCTTCTAGCCTCCAATTTTTACCCCACAGTGTACTGGAAATCAGGACAAAGTAAAGAACTGTTACTGTATCTTACTTATCCTGGCCCTTGAAGAGGAGAGGGAATTTATCTCCAACCCTATTTGATTAAAAGGCAGAATGAGTCTGGAGATCTTTCCTATATTTAATTATGTAAACTTTCTAGGTAAGACACATTTGTACTTGATTCCCTTGTGTTGAAGCAATGACCATTTTATTACCAGCTACCAGCTGTTACAGAAGTCACATGCACAGGCTGTTCCACAGGGTGTTATCTTTGCTCTCAATTATTTCCCTTAATATAGGCTGAAAAGGCTTTTTCCTCTACAAAAGCAAAATCAATTCAGTACTGGATTTTCATTTCCACATTCAGTTCCACAGAATTTCATTTTTGCAACATGTGTTTTTTGGTATCTACAAACCTTTCCCTACCCCCTCTCCCTCCCAGTCCCTGTTCTATTTCTTCTTCTTGTTGTCTCCACAGGAAGTGGGAGACAGCAGCTTGAAATTTTTCTTAAATGACAGATAGAAAATGGATTAACTAGGTGTGATCTACACCAAAACAGCTGTCATTCACAATTACTCCAGTGAAACTCTCTTTGCAGTAGCATCTAGAAGGCTATTACATAAACACACTTTGCAGGTCTCAAGGTATGTTAGTTATCACAGTGTGTTAAAAAGTCTATATGATATGTTGCTTTAAGTTTTCTCAGATCCATCTACACTACAGATTCCATTACTACTACTGCAAGTGGTCTAAATCAGGGTTCTCAGTTTTTTTACTTTTCACTCAATTGCTGAACACCACTCAGGCTCTTCAGGCCAGACTGATGGCAATCGTACCTGAGCCACCTTGTGCCCAGGTAGCCAACAAGGCCAACAGCATCCTGGCCTGTATCAGCAATAGCACAGCCAGTAGGGCCAGGGCAGTGATCATCCACCTGTACTGGACACTGGTGAGGCCGCACCTCAAATCCTGTGTTCAGTTCTGGGCCCCTCATTACAAGAGAGACACTGAGGTGCTGGAGTGGGTCCAGAGAAGGGCAACAGAGCTGGTGAAGGGTCTGAAGCCCAAGTGTGATGAGGAATGGCTGAGGAACAGGGGAGTTTAGTCTGGAGAAGAGAAGGCTCAGGAGGGACCTTATCACTCTCTACAACTACCTGAAAGGAGGTTGTAGTGAGGTGGGGATCAGTCTCTTCTTTCAGATAAAAAAGGGACAGGACAAGAGGAAATGGCCCCAAGTTGTGCCAAGGGGAGGTTTAAACTGGATATTAGGAAAAAATTCTTCATAGAGAGGGTGCTCAGGCATTGGAACAGGCTGCTCAGGGCAGTGGTAGAGTCGTCCCTGGAAGAGTTCACAAACCGTGCAAAGACCTTAGTGATATGGTTTAGTGGTGGCCTTGGCAGTGCTGGAGAATGGCTGGAAGTGATGATCTTAAAGGTCCTTCCAACTTAGTTGATTCTATGATTCTATAAATGCTATTGCCTAATGGCTCAAACAATAAAGAGAAGGGATTGCCTTCTGGCCACTAACAGGAACACTCACTCCTGTGGTTGAAAAGAAGTTTTTTACCTTGGTGTCCAGATTGCTCCTGCTTGGCTCGCAAGCCTCGGCAGTGGAGCCAAAGGATCACAGTTAGCATGATGACAAAAACACCCACAAGGAGAACTGGGACAACAATCACTTCAGTCTGATATTCACGTACAACTATCAAAAGAAAATGGGAAAATGAAAAAATGAGGACTAAGCAGCATTTCCTCATGCACATTGGTTCTGTGTAACAGAATAGTAACATATTTCCGTAACTTTCAGTCCCCAAAGTTTACCTATCCTCTGCCTCGTGGAACAGCAACACTGTTAGTGCTGCCACCCTATTTTTCAAAGGTGCTGAGTATCTAAACTGCATGAATCCACTGGGGCTCCCACACCTGGGGTCTTTTATGTAGATGCTGTAATAGAGAGGCTGGAAATTGTAGCCGTGTGTAAGTATCATCCACTAGTGCAACAGAACTGCCCCTGGGAAAGGGACAGCAGGGAGATGGGAAGGGCTGAATATTGCTATGCCATCACAAATACATGTGCAATTACAGGTTCAGCTCCTTTCATTAAAATTACAGGAAACATTTTAAGGAAAACAAGGTGTGGACATTACAACTAACAAGGATGTTGCAAGTAACTAACTCTCTTATGCCCCAGATTTGGAGATGATTCTATTTTTGCATAGGCCAAGACCATGTTTAAGTTCCCAAAGATGACAGAAAGTCATGAAATCAAAATCTCACGAGACTGGTCCCTAGGGAAGCTGCAGGGAATCTTTAATGACTGTGTCTTATTCAAGGCAGAGATACTCTAAAATGGCTAAAGCTATGTGCAATGAATCCCACCACAAAGGCTGCATCCCTTTAAAAGTTTCTCCTTTGAGATACAATTCAAGGAAAGCTCAGTGAAACCTTTCTCTATGGGCTGGGATGCAGGTGGAGGAGTGGAAAGGGCTTGGCCCACTTTCTAGTAAAGCTGGACTTCCCGCTCAGCAAGTGAAAGTTATTACTCAAGGAATCTGGGAATCTTACCACACAGCTTGTCATTACTGTTGCATTCCAGCAGCATGCGTGTGAATCTTTTTACATCCCCTGCCATGTTCAACTATGAGCGAGTGGGTCTCCAACTTCTGTCTTCTGCACAGACACGAAGAATATTAATTAAATTTATTGCAAGAAAGGTTGACTTATGAAGCAACAAGTAAGCTGAATGTGGAACTTTCTAATCCTTATGATCAGTGCTTGTGTCAAGAAGCACCACTGGGACTTTGAGGCTTAGAGATTAATACAGGACATCCAGTATCAAATCCTATGAAAGGCAGACTGCATGACCAGAGAGAATTTAAGATTAAGCTTGTTCTAGAGTGCTTCACAAGCAAACAGTTATGGCTAGGCCTAAAGGCTGGCATATGCACAAAAATTCATAGGGCTCCTTTAACACTGCCAGGCCCACAGCTGATCTGAAGCACAACATGTGGAACTCTTCTGCATTTGTACTTAAAAATCCAGTGCCTGTGCAAGCACACACCTTTCTAGCTGTAATTTCTGCTATCACTAATCCCTTAGCATGTGCAATCATACACCTACATACCCTTCTGATTGTGTAAGTGCATTTGCCATTTGTGTAACCCAACTCAGACAGGACTAGACTCATCAAAGTATGCCGGTGTCTTTGAGTTGCTCCAGGACTGCAGATAGCTGCAAACCTCTCAAAACACATCCCTGTTGTAGAATTTTAGCTGTTCTGCATTACAGGTAAAGATTGTCCCTGTAGAAAATTGTATTTCAGTTCAAATAGGTGTGTGTGGTTTTGTTTATTCTCTGGAGAACACACAAGCATTTCAGATGATGCCCCATTGCTACACTAAGTATACTGTCTTTACTGAGGACTGAAGTAATAAAATTGGAAGAGGCTCTGTGGTGTTGCACTTTATGTACACCAGCAGAGGACCTGGACTACTAGTTCTAAACTCAAAAAATAAATAAATAAAAATAAATCAATCAATATGTGGTGAATACTGATGACTGACAGAAAGGCAAGGATCATACATTTAGTCAGTGCTACTTATAAACATTACCAAAAAATTAAGTCTAACAGCTTCACAAACAGTATAATCTAGAATGTTTTAGAAGCATCGGAACTCTCGTCCTTTTAAGTACTTACTTTATTTTCAGCTGTGAGTTCAAGGCAATTAACCTCAATGGCAAATGTTAATAATGATATATGGCATTCTTACTGGTATGAACATGGCTATATGGAAGTCAGTAATGGATGAAATATTAAACAGTTTGTTCTCATGCTAAATTGATGGGTGAAATTACGCTTGATCAGTTGCACAACAGAGGCAGCAGAAAGAGGAAAATGGATCATATCTGCACTTCAGGGTATAACGAAAGGTCTTTCTCGTTTCTTATTTCCTTCGATTCTTTGTATGCTAGCAAATTGACACGGACACACAGTGTGGCTACAACATGAATCCAGTCAAAGCAGCAATAATACAGCAATAACATTAAGCTTTGCAGGTGCACTCTGAACGTAAGCACACTAGATCAACCTAACTTAGCTATGACACATACACATGCTTACACAAACATACGCAGGATTAACCATAAAACTATAAATCCTATCTTCTTTCACTCTCAGATTACACTCAGATACGAAATACACCTACAAACAGACATGATAGCAGCACAGGAAAGCAGACTTCAGGACCACTAGCTAGCAATCATGCTGTATAATCTGAGTCATAAACAGTCCAAGTTCCATCTTAACAGTAGCTAATGGCTTTGCTTTCTGCAGTGTTCACTAGAAATGCACACTTACACTTAAATGATGTGCATGCCCAAGGCAGATATAAGCACACACATACCAACTTGTAGTTACACAGAAACATGCTCACACAATCAGAAAGATCCATGGAAGAAAGCTTTGATGCAGCAACAATGCCTACACTGGTCCCCTGTTCATAAAAAATGATTCCTACCTCCTCCCTTATGTACCTCCCACCAGTGATGCCAGTGGGTGGCACCCCATGTTTCCTAACCACGCTCAGGGCAGAACTATGGGATCCAGGAATAAAAACATTGGCAACCCCTGGTGCTTTATTTGCACTGGCACTCCCATTTGTTGCTGTTGCTTATAGAGCTGAACAGGAGTCTAATCAAACTGGAAAAGTTTAATTAGACAAGTCTGTTTACATTGTATGCCTCTATCCTCTTGCAATACTCTGGAAGCAGGAAAAGAAGTTGCACTTAGAAAAGTAATTCTGAAGTGCCTTTCAGTGCTACTTTACAGGCTGAGGACAATTTCAGACAAAATTCTCATACTCAGCTCCTGCATCTAACTTGTCTAAGAGCACCTTTATTGCAGTTCCTCCATTTCCATCCTCACAACCAGAGTGGTAACTCAGAAATCCACATTATATATTTAATTTTTATTTATTTTTTTTTTTTAATTTACCAGTAGGGGACACATGGAGGTTATGTGGAAGCAACATCTTCAGTGTATAGGCAGATACTCACCCGATACCAGAAAGCACATTGGGACTGCTCAACTACTTATTTTATTATATGAAGACCGTTTTTTCAGTACCAAGCTAGGATAAGTGGGACAAAAATACCTTATAAGGTTCAAAACCTATACCTCACTGCTACGATTTTCTTTGCCCGTGTGTTATGTTGTGCCAAGACCAGTGCTGTTTACATCATGAGCACAGGAAAATATATCCTGTATGACTTCAACTTAGAATTTGCATTGAACAATTTGTGCAATCACAAGTAAATCTCAGCTTAGTTATTCTACTGGCTTTTTTACTGCTCTTTTACATACACTGAAATCCACTCACTGGAATTCATTTATCTTGATTGTTTACTTTCAAAATCATACCTGCTTCAATAGTCTGCTCTCCCTGCCTTAGCCTATCTAATCTTTTCAGATCTATCCTGATTTCCTCCTCTCATAGTTTTCATTGGTGACACAAACCTGAAACTTTCCTTTCTCTTGGACATGCATCTTTCTTAGCACATTCTCTATTGTGCAGCACAACAGTGTGACTTAGTACCTTATTTAAGAAAACCAGCTGGCAGTGCAATACAGAAATCTAACACGATACATAATGACCATAGTACTAGGCCTTTCTTCCCTCAGAATGCCAAGGCTCAAGTTAAGGGTGGTATGTTTCCACTCAGTTTCAGATTACAAAGCCTTCCTGAAAGACAACTTCCCTTTGACAACAGTGACCAGAAAGCAAATGAGCTTTTCTATAACAAAAGTCCTCAATAAAAATGACTGAATCATAGAATCCTAGAATGGTTTACATTGGAAAGGACCTTAAGATTATCTAGTTCTAACCTCCTGCCATGGGCAGGAACACCTCACACTAGACCATGTCACCCAAGGCTCTGTCCAACCTGGCCTTGAACACCACCAGGGATTTACTACAGCTTCAGGGAACCTGCTCCAGTGCCTCACCACCCTCACAGTAAAGAACTTACTTACATCTAACCTGAACCTCCCCTGTTTACATTTAAACCCATTACTCCATGTCCTGCAAGTCCCTGATGAAGGACTTGGGGGTGCTGGTCGATGAGAAAATGAACATGAGCCAGCAGTGTGCACTTGCAGCCCAGAAAGCCAACCGTATCCTGGGCTGCATCAAAAGGAGTGTGACCAGCAGGTCAAAGGAGGTGATCCTGCCCCTTTATTCTGCTCTCGTGAGACCTCACTTGGACTATTGTGTGCAGTTCTGGTGTCCTCAACATAAAAAGGACATGGAAATGTTGGAACAAGTCCAGAGGAAGCCACGAGGATGGTCAGGGGACTGGATCACCTCCCATATGAAGATAGGCTGCGAAACTTGGGACTGTTCAGCCTGGAGAAGGCTGTGTGGAGACCTCATAGCAGCCTTCCAATGTGTGAAGGGGGCATATAGGGATGCTGGGGATGGACTCTTCATTAGGGACTGTAGTGATAGGACAAGGGGTAATGGGTCAGGAGAAGTTTAGATTGGATATAAGGAGGAGGAAATTCTTTCCTGTTAGGGTGGTGAGGCACTGGAATAGGTTGCCCAAGGAGGTTGTGAATGCTCCATCCCTGGCAGTGTTCAAGGCCAGGCTGGACGAGGCCTTGGGTGATACGGCTTAGAGCAAGGTGTCCCTGCCCATGGCAGGGGGGTCGGAACTTTATGATCTTAAGGTCCTTTACAACCCTAACTATTCTATGATTCTATGAATGGGAGCAACAAGGGGCTGTGAAGGACTTTGTAAATGAGTTTTGAAAAGGTGTTTTTTTTCCGGCTAGAGCTCAGGAGGGAACAGGGTTTCCACTAAACAGATTTTGAGAGATTTGGGAGCTTTTGCTGGGGCAGAGGGAAATAAATGAGAATCAATGCAGATAAAGTGCCCTAGACGGCAATGCTCAATGTTATGCTCAATTAACAATGCTCAGATACGACATAGTTCCAAGCAGACTGCAACAACCATGGCAGTCAAGCCCTTCTTTGACCAATACCTGAATCCAAAGCCCCATGTTCAAGCTAAATATACAGTGAAGGCCATGGTATCTAGAAAGAGCAGAAGCAGCTGCTCTTTTGGCAATGAGAGGCAAAACCTGAGCAGGAGCTGACCTATAGTCAGTAGCATTTGCAAACTGCCACTGGCAGACTACTTGGTGAACTGCATGTGGTGCGGCAGTTCCACAGCATGGGGACAGTCCCCCATATCTGCCCTACACAGACAATTGCTGATCCTCTGTGCAAATTTGCCAGCAGGATGAACACTGGGGGGAAAGGTGGTGTTTATTTCCCAAGCTGTTCTGCTGCCCTGGCAATTTAGACAAAGCACAGAGGTCAACACAGGGACAGCAATAAGCACCTGAAAGATGGTAGTTGTGGGGGCTGCTTAAACCAATTCAGCAAGCTCCAGTATGGAATGTGAATATGGTTTTGTGAATGCAGCTGAGCTGAATTAAGTGCTCACTAATGCCAAAAGAAAGGAGTATCTCTTCTCTCTGCTCTCTCCCCACTCGTTTTCATCACAGCTATGCAACTGATAACGTTAGACTGATTCAACCCACTAACCTAGCAGGAAAAACTCACCATTCTTTTGTCATGGTGATTTCCTGGCATTTTAGTGAGTGG